GACGGTAGCTTGACACGCTAACCACTCAGCTACACTGCCACGAGTAACCTTGAGTCACAGGGCATAAGTGTTGATAAGACCAATGCGAGGTCGAAACTCCAGTCCACCCAGGCTATGTGAAATTCAATGGAAAACGTCAGCTCAACTCATATCATTGTGGGAAAATTCTACTACCAGTCCCTTTCACATAGCCTTGCTTTCCCACCCTGGATGAGAACAACTTTTGGGAAAGCAAGGCTATGTGAAATTCAAAGGTCAAAACTGCAGTCCACCCAGGATGAGAACAACTTTTGGGAAAGCAAGGCTATGTGAAATTCAAAGAGGTCGAAACTGCAGTCCACCCTGGATGAGAACAACTTTTGGGAAAGCAAGGCTATGTGAAATTCAATAGCGAGGTCGAAACTTCAGTCCACCCAGGATGAGAATAACTTTTGGGAAAGCAAGGCTATGTGAAATTCAATGTCCAATGCGAGGTCGAAACTGCAGTCCACCCAGGATGAGAACAACTTTTGGGAAAGTAAAGCTATGTGAAAATTCAATGGTACTGCAGTCCACTCAAGCCGGGATGAGAACAACTTTTGGGAAAGCAAGGCTATGTGAAATTCAATGGAGACCTGCAGTCCACTGGTGCCTGAATGAGAACAACTTTTGGGAAAGCAAGGCTATGTGAAATTCAATGGAAGGAAACTGCAGTCCACCCAGGATTAGAACAACTTTTGGGAAAGCAAGGCTATGTGAAATTCAATGGAAAACGCGCAGTCCACCCAGGATGAGAACAACTTTTGGGAAAGCAAGGCTATGTGAAATTCAATGGAAAAGTCAGCACCCAAAAGGTGTTCTCATCCAGGGTGTTGGGAAAGCAAGGCAATTTGAAATTGAATGGAAACGTCAGCTCTAATTCATATCATTGTGGGAAAATTCTACTACCAGTCCTTCATCACCTTACACGAAATAGGGTGAATACATCTCATCACACTGATAAGCATTGTGGGAAAATTCTACTACCAGTCCTTCATCACCTTACACGAAATAGGGTGAATACATCTCATTACAAAATAAGATAGGCCAAAACGAAATGCTGCACAGTATTGCTTTATTGTATAAAGAAGGCCTTTATGTTCGTATTAAATAGGTTTCGAAACTATAAGAAGATATTAAATAAGAGCTTTATTCACCATGAGTTGCATAAGGTAATGAAGGACTTAAAGTTGAATTTTCCCAAAATGATTTTGTTGGGCCTCACGTTTTCACTTAATTTCATATTAACATGGATCCCGAAAGGCATTCTCATCCAGGGTAGACGATAGTTGTAAACTTGTCTTTGTCTGATCAGCAGGCCAAGTAGATTTCGAATTCGGGAAATGCAGTATATAGTCTCAACTCGTTTACAATACGCCGCTCTTCCACAAATGCCCTTGGGTTACATGGAAGGCATAGCTCTCAAGAAAGGCTGGGCATTTTCCATAACCCAATTTTTGTTATGGCAATTTCGATGTAGCAAACTTGTATTTGCTATTATGATCAATTGCATAATAGGAAAACTACAATTAATCCTGGATGACAATGGATTTGGGGAAGTAAAGCTATGTAAAATTTCATTGAAAAGTGGGGCTCACTCATACAAATGTGGAAAAATTGGACTATAAGTCCTTTATTACCTTATGCAACTTTCAATATAGCTTCAATATAGATCAAAGTTTGATTTTGCTACAATGCTGACATAAGTTTACATTTTTCGAGTTGATTTACAAGATCATATAATTTCACTAATTCAAAGTTTTAGAATGAGGATTTATGAAGGCAAACATAAAGCCTACATTCATCACATAAAATTTATCAGCATATGAATGTAGATTCCGAGCGAAATTTATGAAATAGGTTGCATATAGAAAAAGCTGGCATTATATGCCTGCTGCTATACCTTTGAGTTCATTAAGTCTAGCATATCTAAACCACCGTATACATATTTTCACTTAGGCCAGCCAAATAAAGATAATCTACTTGATGAGATCCATTGTTCAGTTGAGGGAATGAACATTAATATGAGAAGAAATTTTCATACAGAATACTAATGTAGAAATTGATTTTGAAAGTATGATTTTTTCTTTCCTTGATTCAAGGAAATTTTGCGGGCGCTCGATCCTTTTAATCACAACGTAAAATTGTTTGACCTATTACATCCTTTTTCTCGAAGAAACTAATGCAAATTATACTAGCATATCACCTGTCAGAAGCGTTTGTTTATTATTCAACCAGACCTAAGGATACAATATTTTATGACATTATAATTTAGGCATGGGGTTCAACGTATCAGGCAACAAAATTGCTGAGTAACGACCGACCTCTTTAGGATATAGTTAGATCTAAGTGGAACGTAGGAAAATACCATAATCGCTAAAAAATAGTTTTGCATGTCATTTAAATGAAATCGAAAAGAAAGAATGAGTATGGGAACATGATCACAAAGTTCGTCTATAGATCGAAAACTTCTAAGGCATAAGCAATTGATGTTTATTTACATTTGCCTTTGGAATTAGTTAGAAGGTATGCAGTTGCGTCATTGAGTTATTCGAATATTCCTTACACTTCTACTTTCTCTGGCACACTTTTTCTTTCCCACCTCACTCATTTGTGCTTATTTGCACTTGAGGTATTTTTATTAGTTATTTCTCCCAAAGCTGGATTAAAACGAGTTTTTTTATTTTCAAAATATGTTATTCTGTTGATCAAGGTCATTTTCTATTTGTCTTCTTACCTTTGTTCTATCCCATTAGACGCTTCGTTTATTCTGCATTATTCCCAGATCTGCTCTCAGCTGGATAGTTAGGGACTTTAGAGGAAACAACGCTCTTGAATAAATGAAGACTTCATAAAACCAGTGACCATGCTAAGCTGTCGATAAAAATCTACCCAAAACAGATAGCTATTCAAGGTAGAGTTTGGAAAATGAAAGATCCAGGACGTCGATATACTTGTTTTTTCGATGAGTTGACTTA